ATCTTCCTCAATTTGCAAGTATAAGTTTTTCTTTAGACTAAAATTTTAATTATTTTATGTGATTTCGTTGATAATTCTAATAACATATTTATCGATTTGCAGGACAAGTCTAACGAAAAGTGTCTTGATGGTGAATTACTTTGGTGGGATCGTCAGCAGGGTCGTACTATCTCGACATCGGGTTCCGGACATTTCGCGCCAATGTACGGAATTGACTTTTAGATTATTATAGAACAGTCATTGTTGTCTTTAATCGTTTTTGTTAGGTTAAACATGATTCTAAATACTTTACAAAAACTTTACATTTGAGTAGATATATAAAATTTGAGAGGAATGGCTCCACTTTAGCTAGCGTCTTTAGAAGTAGCGTTTGATGTTGTGATAAAGTTACAACATATTATGTGTATATTCATGCAAGTGTTTTTCGCTTATCTTACTTAGAATAACGATTTATTTGCTGGAATCACTTATAGGCGTTTCGTTTATTGAAGTTAGGTCATGTCTGAGCTGAAAGCGGCTTTGAAGGAGGCCAAAAAGCTGCTCAGTACAGGCAAAAGCGATGATGCTCTCAGTGCATTGCAAGTGAGTAGCCAGTTCTTCTTCAGTTCTATTCAATCTCACTTATTAAATTATTCTAGCAATCTTTGGTAATTTCTGAAATCAGAGTTTAGGGTTTACTCGATGATGGCATTGAAGACTACATGCTATTTTCCTTCGCTGCTCTAGCGCATGCTAATCTTGATGACGCTAAAGAAGCTAGGACTTTATATGAAAAGGTATTACTTCTTGTACGCTTCTTCGTAATTTTTAAATTTTACTAACTTTTAGGCCATCAAGTTAGACACTAAGCTGCCAGCCGCATGGCAAGGACTGCACAAATTGTTTGATTCGGGTAAGCTACCTGCAGATGATCGTGCTTTGGAAGTGTGCGATCACCTAATAGCATCAAGGTACTTGTTTCTTTTTCTTTTTAGCTCATTTTAGCTCTTTCTGTGTATTTTAACAAAACTTTTTATTTTTCTCTTGCTTTGGAAGTTTATAAACAAAAATACCACCAATATTTTTGAACTTAATTCTGTCTAAATTAATTAACAAATCAGCGCTGTGTTTAGTCATAGCAAGCTGTTACTTGTAAAAAGAAGCGTCAAGACTTAAAAGCTCTGTGATTGAGTCATAGCAAACTGTGATACGTGTAAAAAGAAGCGCCAAGGCTTATATTCGCAATGAATTGAATTTAAAAATCACTTTACACCTAACACTTTTAACCTTTTACTGTTAGTCCAGTAACAAGCAAATCAGAGTCACTTTTCAGTGATTCTGAAGAGAAGCGCCAAGCACTTAAAGAAACTCGCCGAAGATATTTGTTTGAATTATCTCGATATGAACAACTAGAGGTGAGAAT